CTTAATCCCCAAAGACATCACACATTCCTCTAATTTGAGAATTGCCTATCTTATTCCTCTGTTTCTAGGTATAATAATGTAATAACATTGCATAACATTGCATAAGTTATATATAGCATAGTACAATAATAATGGTGACATCCGGGTTCAGTATAAATGAAGAAGAAAAGCATGCGTGTATATAGAGCACTTACTTCATGTTAGGGGTCTCTCACCGCGTCTATCCCTCACACCCCTGCAAGGTGGGTATTATTACTCCCTATTTTTAAAATGAGAAAACTGGGACCCAAAGAAGTCAAGAAAGTGGTCCAAGTCACTACCTTGTAAGTGGTGCAGCTGGACCTCAAATCATGTGTGTCAGAACCAAAATCCCAGGTTCATTTCCGCACGTCCTGCAGCTTCCCGGCGAGTGCCCTGCAGCCCCGTATCCCCAGAAACGTTTGACATATGCATGAGGCAGCACGTGCAGTGGACTTGGAACAAACACTTCTAAGATGGAGAAATAAAGAGAAACTCTTGCACGTGACAACAGCAAACGTGTATATGGACATTCACAACAGTGCCGCTCACGACAGGTAAAAGCCAGGAAGAGCCCATGCATCCTTCATTGGAAGAACAGAAGAAAAAGTGTCCTCTGCACACTCAACAGAACATTGCACAGCAGAAAGCAAGACACTACGGCAGCGTGCCAAAATACAGAAGAATCCGAGCAATATAATCTTGAGTCAAAAAAGCAACTAAAGGCCGGCGTGGTGGCTCACGCCTGTAATCCTAGCACTCTGGGAGGCCGAGGCGGGCGGATTGCTCGAGGTCAGAAGTTCGAAACCAGCCTGAGCAAGAGCGAGACCCCATCTCTACTATAAATAGAAAGAAATTAATTGGCCAACTAATATATATAGAAAAAATTAGCCGGGCATGGTGGCACATGCCTGTAGTCCCAGCTACTCGGTAAGTTGAGGCAGGAGGATCGCCTGAGCCCAGGAGATTGAGGTTGCTGTGAGCCAGGCTGACGCCACGGCACTCACTCTAGCCTGGGCAACAAAGTGAGACTCTGTCTCAAAAAAAAAAAAAAAGCAACTAAAATAAAAAATATATATTTTTAGGAATGCATATATTAATAGATGCAATTAAACTACCTAAAAAGGAAAACAAGGGAATGTGGCCCCAGGAATCAGGCTGATTATTACCGCAGGACCGTAGGGGGAGCACATGGTTAAATGTAGGTTATTGCCAAGGTCCTGGCTTTTACTTTGAGTTTACAGGTTCTCGTTACATTGGAATGAATGAATGGATAAATGAGTGCATGAATGAAAGTGGGCCATTCATGGGTGAATGATGAGTGTGTCAGAATTCAATGATTATGACCAACCCAATTCTGCACACCCTGAGATCCAATTTAAAGATAAACTAGGTTAATAGATGAATAAATGATTTGACATTTTGCATTAACAGCTCTAGGAAGAAGGGAGTAAATCCTCCTCTTCCCAATTGATGCTCACCTGTGTGTGCCGTGAGAAAAAAAAATCACCCAGGATAGCAGAAGGAGCCCAGAGTAAGTTCTGCCTCTTCTGGAAAATGCCTGAAATTAAACCCACTGATCCCTGCAAGCAGATGCCAGGTGGTGTAAGAGGGGCTGCCATGGCCAAGTGAAGTGTGGTTTTAGCAAGGAAAGGCCCTCAAAAAAAATATGACTCCTCCCACAAAGAAATGCACACACACACACACACACACACGCATGCATGAACACACACCTGCTGCCACCTATGGAAAAAACCATCTGTAATACCCACAGTCAGTGATGAAACCTAAAGAAAAAATATTTGCCCAAAGGTGCTATGTGCATTTAAGATCATAGTAAGATGTAAACAACAGGCATCTTCTCTCCTAAAAGTATATCTCTTATGTGGAAAGAGGGCTAAGCTGCACACAAGAGAAGAAATAGAACAGAAAGGCGGCTGAGAGCAGTGCAAGTGAACTTTGCTGACTTTTATCATTTTGTCTGATCCTCCCTGAATATTGGGCAGAAGAAGTACCCCTTCTCCTGGGTCTGTTGAGCTTATCGGTTCTCCAATGGCACAGTCACCAGGTTCTGAGACCCTGCTGAGGACGAACGTCCACAAGGAGGAGGCAGTGAGTTGCAAAGAGCTTGGCGCTCCGTAGAGGAGCCCGCCTGGTTGCTCGGTTTCCCCTAGAGTCTGCAGCTGCTGGACTGTGTGGTACAAGAGGGAGCTGCCATGCTGAGACCATTAGAAGGACACCCGACCTGGGGGGTCCCAAGGGTTGTCCTGATGCCACAGTTTCCAGGTAAAAGTGGCTGCTTTCTGTGCCCGGCATAGGAACACTGCTCTGTGCACTGTGACATTCCCATGTTTGTCCTGGAAATGAAGGTATGAGGGCAGATGTGGTGATGTTGCCAGCCACTTGCTGTACACCTCCGGAGGGGCAGACCCCCTTAGCTTCTCCTCCACCTGTCCCTGACCGAGCTGCTGCAAAGGCTGGAACTTAGTGCCAAAGAAGTCCTGTGAGCCTGGGAGTCATTCCAACTATGGAGCTAAAAGCACTGCACGAATCTGCCCAGTCCCTTCCTGAACCTCAGTCCTTGGTTGACGGGTCTCTGCAAGGAGGCAGCTGAGGGAGGGTGGAAAGCATCGACTTGGGGCCAGACTGCTGGGGACTGAGTCTGGGCTGTGCCTGCCATCTGTATGGTCTTGGGGAGTCACTTAATGTCCTGAACCTTGCTTTCATCGCCTAGACATCGGGAAGAATGGCACCCTCCTCCAGAGGAGTGAGATTAAATTAGATGATACATGCGAAAGAGCCTGACACATTTGTGTCAGAGCAAAGGTTCATTCATTCATTATTCCTCCTGTATCTCCCAGACAGCGCCCATGGAAGAAGGCAGGACAAAACATGGCGGCAGAAACCTGGTGTCACAGGAAGGTGACCAGGCAGCCGCATAGAGACTCTCTTCTGGAGGCTGCTTCTCAGTGGACAGAAATGTGGCCCACTAGGGTGCTGGGACAGGGGAAGATATCATTTGGGGTCCTTTCTCGGGAAGGAATAGTTGGTGCTTGGTGGCCACTTCCTGCTGAAGCCCTCCCTGACCCCCACCTTCCTCCTCGCCTCTAGGCAGAGCGAGGGGGTCACCCTTTCCTCCAAACTCGTAGCACACCCCTTTCATATTATTTGCAATAACAGCTCCTGCATGGAGCACTCGGTATACACCAGGCTCTGGGCTCAGTACTCACCACGCGTTCCTTCATTTAACCCTCACGACCGCCCTATGAAAGAGGAAAGTGAAGATTAGCAACGTGACATACTAGACCACATTGCACACGTGAGTCACGGCAGAGCCAGGACTCAGACCCAAGTCCTCCGGGGCCTAGGCTTGAGTTTCAGCCACGGCACTATACTTTCTCTCTTATATGCCATCATGGCCCTTATCCCATGATGTGTGGTATTTCTGTACCTGTTAGTCACAAGTGGTCCTCAGCGTCAAAAACTATGGCTCTTTTGCCTGTTTATCCTGAGTGCTTAGCATAGTGTCCAGCTAAGAATGAATGCATCAGTGAGCAAAAGATCTTCGCCAAACCCCCAAGGAAGGAGACAGCACCATTGTTCCTCCTAGATCAATGCAACTCATAACTGCAACTCAATCCCTGCCGTGGTATGGGGGTTGGGGCAGGGACTGGTGGCTGCGTGTAGCGGCTGTCCCTCCCCTACAGTGTACCCCTCGCTCATTTCAAGAGTCTAGAGCTTAGCTGTGGGACCTGTACCGAGCCCTTCACTAAGGGAGAGATGTTGCTGATTCTTTAAAGCTAGAAAGGCCATCCTATCTCCCCTTTTCACAACTTTGGGAGGCCGAGGCAGGAGGATCACTTGAGGTCAGGAGTTCAAAACTAGCCTGAGCAAGAGGGAGACCCTGTCTCTACAAAAAAAGAAAAATTAGCTGGGCATGGCAGCACACAACTGTAGTCCCAGCTACTCGGGAGGCTGAGGCAGGAGGATCACTTGAGGCCCGCAATTTAAGGTTGCTGTGAGCTACAATAAGGCCACTGCACTTCCAGCCTGAGCAATGGAACATGATCTTGTCTCATGAAGTTGTTATTTGAGTACATTCTTAAATAACTTCCTCAAATACTTATTCAAGAGGAGTAAACCAAGAAAATTCAACCAAGTTCATGAGAGAGTAAACTAAGACAGAGGAACAAATGAGCCATGGGAAATACTGAATCCATACAAGAATGGGACTAAAGGAAAATGTCAGTTGCAGCCACACAGCAGGCCCAGAAAACAGCCAGTGTCTGGAGATAGAATACTGTAGCAGCGAGGTTTGTGACATAGCAGAGAGGAGAGCTTGGAAAATGAGCCTTGAACGTATGTTGAAATCTAGAATTCAATTTTTTTAAAAGCACTTAGAAACTCAGGGGGAAGGAAATATAAGAAAGTCATTATCTAAGGTACTTGCACTACACATGAAGCAGGAATGGTGTTATTTGAAGATAGATTTAGTTTAGTTTTTAAATTATACTGTAAACTCCAGAACAACGACTTATAAATTTTTAAGAAGGGCCAGGTGTGGTGGCTCACACCTATAATCCCAGCACTCTGGGAAACTGAGGTGGGAGGATCACTTGAGATCAGGAGTTTGAGACCAGCCTGAACAAGAGTGAGACCCCATCTCTATTAAAAAATAGAAAGAAATTAGCCAGGCGTGGTGGTGCACACCTGTAGTCCCAGCTACTCTGGAGGCTGAGGCAGGAGGATCGCTTTGGCCCAGGAGTCTGAGGTTGCTGCGAGCCAAGCTGATACCATGGCACTATAACACCACTGCACTCCAGCCTGAATGACAGAGCAAGACCTGCCTCAAAAAAAAAAAAAAAAAATCATCAAATATCTATTACACCGTGTAGAGATTCCAGTAACAATAACACCTTGTAAATGAATTTGCTTTATAGTTTAAGAGAAAAGAAAGATTTTTTACATACATTGTTTCATTTATTCTTCACAAAAACCCAGCGAGGTATACATAGATTCCTGTACCTATTTTACAGATGAGAAAACATAAGTAAACTCAGAAAACATAAGTGATTTGTCTAAAAAGAAATTGAAACCCAGGAGTAAAATGCACCCTTTTAACCCGAAGCCTGGCTCTTTCCTTCCATGTTGACACTGACTTCAAGTGCCACTGGCACTAGGACTGTTCCCTGCTGAGGGGGCCACCTGCTAAAGACCAGGGTCATCATAAAAGGCTGACCCCTGAGACCACAGTCCCAGCCCCCAATTCCCACAGTGGTCAGCCTCATGCTGTCCTGCCAGATGGTGATGCAACCCCACCAATCAAAGGTCCCAGCAGCAGGACCCCCCTGGTGTTTAGGGGCTGTAGCCGGAGCTCCCCACCTCCTGCCCAGAGAGCATGATAGCTCACATTATTGAGTTCTTAGTACAGGCTAGGCACTCTTCTAGGCTCTTTACATGAATTAACTCAGTAAATCCTCAGAACAACACCATGAGGCAAGTACAGTTATTATCTCCACTTTCTGGACACTTAGGAGAGATTAGGTCATTTGCCCAGGATTGCATAACCAATGATTTTCAAAGCCAAGATATGCATTCTGGGAGTCTGTGCTCTTAACAAAACCACCATTCTGCCTCTCCTGAGCCAGTCGTTTTTTACTTCTTGGGGTCATTTGTATCATACAGAGTGCAATGAAATCTCTGGACCCTCTCCCTATCAAAATGCAGTTTTGCAGAATGTTGCATATCTCAGAACTTCAGGGACCCCTGAGGCCCATCGTGTACCGACTTCGGACTTGGAATCACGATTTATCTCGTACATACTGGAGGGAATTTTCCAGGGACGAAAAGGGAAGCGCCACAAGCGCTCCCAGCGCTGCGGGACTTCGCCTCTGCAAACCGGGAGGAGAGCTGCGCTGGGCTGCGCAGTGACGGAGGTGCCAGTTCTCTGAGACTCAGGAACAGTGAGCACTGGGACCACAGTGCCCTGGGACCGCAGTGCCCTGAGAACGCAGCCGCCGGTCGCTGAGCCTCCGGAGTCCAATAGCTGAATGAGATACGCACGGACCAGCAGCTAGACTCAAATCCTGAGTCCCTGCCAGCATCCTGGAGTCACGAGACAGAGGATTGGGAGCAGACGGGATCTCGGAACTCTGGTCCCAGGCGCGCAGGGGCGGCACCGCTGTTCGTGGTGCTGAAACGCCGCGGTCACGGGAGAGCGCGGCCGCCTGCCCTCCTGGTACCGCGCCGCGGTCACTGCGGGAACTGTCCGGTGCTGAACGTGGATGCGGCCCGGCCCGCGGGGCTTAGATCGGAGCCTGCCGCGCCCACCGGAGCAAGAACCCGGCTCCTGCGAGCGCTGACGCAGAGCGTGGGGAGAGCGCAGCAGCGAGCTCCCGGCATGGACCTGCAGAGACCCGACTCCTACCAGGGGGGAGCTGGCCCTGACTTCGATGAGCATGTCCTGCATAAGGTAAAAATCTCCCCCATTCCCCTATCCCAACGCTTCCCCTATCCCAGGAGCGCTTTCTGTTCCCCCGACTTTGCTTTGGGACTTAAAGAGAAAGTAGCTCGCATCCGCGAGCCTGGGGAACCTTTTCGGTCTGATCCTGTTCGGTCTGATCCTGTTCGCTGCTCAAAACAGAGATCCGTGAGCGTTTGGGGAGGGGCTGCTGCCCCAGGCTCAGATCGTCAGGAGCTTGTTCCTTCACTTAAATCACCTGTGTCCCTTTCTCCCTCCCCTCACCCGTTTGAGTGCACACCGAGCACCACCACTCACCCAAACCCTTGTGGGAGGTTGCTTTTGACCCTGTTAGATCTGCTGGCAATGGCCAACGATCTGAATTCCTGGTCAACTCGACAGAAAGTAGAGAAACCGTCTGCAGCAGGGATAAACTGCTGTTTTCAAACCAGACTCCCCTGTGGCTCCAGAAAGCTCCCCTCCAGCAGTGACTCATTCACGGCTGCCTGTAAGTGTATACTGGCTTCAAAGCCGTAACACAGCCACTGCTTCCCCTACCCCAGTTTCTGATGCAGCTCAATTTTCAGCAATGCAGGTTTCCTCCCTGAAGTGGTTGTTGGGGAAAAGTAGCAGCCTCTCTCCAGGTAACAGTTTTCATCCCAAATCCATCACTTTAAAAGAACCAAAGCCTTCTGTTCACCATAAGGAATTATTACGGCTCCTCTTCCCTTTCTTGGACTTGACCATGCGCTCTGCTCTAGCCTTTATTAATATTTCCTACTTTGCTAATGCCAGTTTATCTGTTAGTCCCCCAAAAGGCTGTATGAGATCCTATACGTGGAGATATTTTAATCAAAATGTCACTCTGAAGAGTTCATGAATGCAAGCTTTGAAATAACCTGCTCCATCCTCCTCCTCTATTACACAGTTTACATTTGAGGAAACTAAAGTGCAGAGAGGCAAAGTGGTTTGTCCAAGAAAACAAGCTGGTAAATGGCAAGGCTGGTATCAAAAGCCAAGAATGATGACTCCACGTCTGGTATTCTTTCCTCTGTAGCCTTACTAAACTTCTCATCAAAGTGTGGTCCATGGACCAGCAGCACAGGCATTGCCTGGGGGCTTGTTAGAAAGTAGAATCTCCACTCCCACCCCAGGCTGGCTGAATCTGAGTCTGAATTTTAATGAGATCCCTAGTAAATAAATATGCACAATAAAGTTTTAGACACACAGCTCTGTGCCTGCTGATACAAATGAAAGAAAATCAGCTATCGAATGAAGTAGGTCTGTAGATATGATAGTCCATGTGTCTTCTCCCTCCAGGTCTCTGAAACCTTAGGGTATAGAGAAAGATAAAAATTGATAACTGCCCCAATCTGGAAGTTTTAAAGCCATCCCAGTTTGAAGTAAACTAGAATAAGGTCTGTGTTCTTTGAGGTTGTGAATCTAGCCCCAGAAGAAAATGCATGCAAGCAAAAGAACATAATTACAAATCAATTGCAAAATCGTCCTGGTGACTAGATATATGGGTCACTTCAAGTTTACACCACCTTATAAATATATAAATATTCATTTTGAAAGATTTAAAACTTTTCAAAATATTGATCAGGTGTGGTCTTTCCCACATCAATTACTCACATACGGAATGTACGATGTAGCCTATGAAAACATTCACTTCCTTTGCATTTATTGATCACCAAACTGAGAGAAAGAGCCTGTTGCAGCAAGTACCAATATATTTGCAGACAGATGTCTATTCACTACAAGTAAATACCTGTTCTCTTCAGCTTGGTTGTGAGCATCCTGAGGGCAGGAATTAGACTTAAACTCTTCGTGGTGCCCAGCAAAGTGACATATGTGTGTAAGGAAAGTTTTTTTTCCTTTTTATATAGTGCTGATGACCTCCTCCTAATATTATTTTATGATTGTGCTTGACTTTTTATTGTGATCCGCTTAAAAGTCTTTTTGTAAATGGGCAGGGCATTGACATATTTGTATTATTTTTAAGTTTGCTGTACAGTAGAATCCAAGGAATTTCTATTGCTTAAGTTAGAACATATTGCCCATGAGAAGAGGGGCTCCCCTCCAACATTAGTTGCTAGGAAGAATCATTTAAATAAACTTTTTACTGAAATATAACAACACCCCTCAAATGGCCTGCCTCTTGTGAGCACACCTTGATGGATTATCACAAGGTAAACGCACTTGTGCAGCCACCATCAGGATGAAAAAATAGAACCTTGCCAGCTTCCCAGAGCCCCCCATATTCCCCCCGCTTCCCCTCCTCAGAGGCGACCATTATAGAGGAATAAGTATCATCTAATGCTTTGACAGGACAGCCAGATGTTATGTAGGATAGTCCTAGAAACTTGCCAGAGAAGAGGTATCACTGTGTGATAAAAACAAAAAAACAGAACTACTCCAGGCTTGGAATAAGTCAAATGTGGATGTGACTTTGACATCTGTAAGCCTTGTTTTTCTTTTTGGTTTGTTTGTTTGTTTGTTTGTTTTTGAGTCAGAGTCTCACTCTCTTGCCCAGGCTAGAGTGCTGTGGCATCAGCCTAGCTCACAGCAACCTCAAACTCCTGGGCTTAAGTGATCCTACTGCATCAGCCTCCCAAGTAGCTGGGACTACAGGCATGCGCCACCATGCCCAGCTAATTTTTTCTATATATTTTTAGCTGTCCTATTAATTTCTTTTTATTTTTAGTAGAGACAGGGTCTCACTCTTGCTCAGGCTGGTTTCGAGCTCCTGACCTTGAGCGATCCTCCCGCCTCGGCCTCCCAGAGTGCTAGGATTACAGGCGTGAGTCACTTCACCCTGCCAGCCTTACTTTTCTTAGCTATAATAAAATAGGAATGATAATACCTGACATTGTGTTTGAGTAAGGGTGTGAGATAACATAATATAAAGCAGGTGTGTGATCTCTCAAATATAGGAAGCATTCAATGAACGGTGGCTGTTACTAGGGCTCACATCTTGGGCTCCAAAGCAACTAACTGCAATGGGTGTCATATTCGGTTCACCTAAAATAATGATGCTTTATGAGAAGAGCAGCAGCAGCATATACAGAGAACCTCAGAAACACACACACACACATTTCACAGGCATGAGCCCATGGAAATACGCTCACTCAACCTGCATATACAAAAAGCATGACATCTGTGTAAACGTCCCAGTCCTGATTTCTCAATCTCCTTTCTCTGGGAGGGGAAGTCTGGGACACGATGAAACGTCTCAGCAAAATTGACTTATATGAAAAAACATGTCAAGTATCACCCTTGGCATTGGATGGCACTTGCACTTCAGCTAGTCCCGAGAGCTGGAGGCTGACCCAGACAAGCTTGAGTAACTCTTAGAAGATTCCTGAAGTGTGTGGGCTGGAAGCTGGGAACTGCCTGGAAACATTGAGTTCATCCATCACATGCTAGGGGTTTTTAAATAGAGTTGCTCTTCTCATAAATCTGAATATTTGATGCAACTAAATAATTTAACACATGGGAACAACCTTGCTGCTCTTTTCTGCAGAGAACTCTCAGTCCTCTCTTGCTACCGGTGCCGTCTCCAGAGCCACCCAGGGCCATGATACGAGTTAGGGGCTCAGGAAAAGCCCACGGATTGGGTCCCTGCTGCTCCAGGGCCTGACCTTGAGCTCTAAGAAAATAAAAAAAATTTTCGTTTCATTTTCACAGAGAGGGGCAAGCTTTTGCCCCAGATACCGGCAGATCAGGACAAAAGACTTCTGTTCAAGCGCTCACTTCCTAAGTCACCGTCGCCTGCTCTCTGATCTACACCCACACACCAGTCTTGTTTCAAGAGGGACAAGCGACAACTAAGCCAAAGTCAGTCTCCTCTGCAGACTCTCAGAAAGATTGGGGGCAGAAAGCCATTCATGCAGGGCTTGGTCCTTGTTGCATAAAAAGGGATTACCAGGGAGATTAGGACAAAAAGTCCGTGTCCTCAAAGTGTTTCCATTCCCTCTGACTGTGCTATGACACCTCTTCTTGGTGACGGGCAAAAGCAGGTAACCTCTGCCACACCCCCCGCTCTCCTGCAGTCACCCTGCACCTGCACCTTCCGCTGCTCAGCTTGTGATTTCCACGTCTCTCCATGGTCCACAGGCCCCATCTAGTCACTTAGCAAACACGTATTGGACATGTCCAAAGCATAAGGACAACGCCGGGCATTATAGAGAACACACCAAAAACTGGCTCCCGCCTCCGATAAGCTTGCAGCCTGTCGGGCACGCACGTACATTGCTGCAATATCGTACAGTCTCAGAGTGTCCGGAGAAAGGGAGGGGAAGATGCAGACAAATGACCCAGGAAGAAGGGGTCCCTTCTGACCTCAATTTGAAATTACGGGTTCTCACTTATGGCCTCTGATTAAAGTTGACATCCAAGAGAGACAGAGTTCCACACCCAGCCACGGGCTGCCACCACTGACCCTAGCGGAGTACAGCAGCATCGTCCTTCCCTGCCAGAAAATTCCACCAGGGAAAGACAAATAAACCATCCAAAGACCACACCCACCTACTCTGTTTTCCTCCCATTCTTTATCCCACAAGGGGCTTTTCCTCCCCGATTAAACAGGCTAATGTACACAAATCCACAGGAAAATCCATGCCTTGTAGGTGAAGAGATTTTCTTTCTGTCCTGAGCTCAGAAACAAACAAGAGAGCCAAGCAAAGCTAGCTGCTCCGTGTAATGTTTCCATTTGCTTGTTTTCCTGTCTTGCCTGCCCTGAAGGCTGGTGGATAAATAACGAAGTGTGTGCTGCGTCACTGAACGCTGGGGCCACCTGGGACTCCCGTGGCTCACTGGCTGGCCCTGCCCAGAGCAGGCAGCTGGCGTGGGAGTGGTCCTGGCTGGTTCTCAGGGATAACTTCAGCAGGAAATGGCGGTGACTCAGCTCAAGGTCTGAAAGTCACTTTGCAAACTCTTCAGGCTTTCCTCTCCTAAGCATCTTCCCTTTAATTTGGAGTCCCTGGGTCTGTTGCAAGAAAATGTCTGAG